ATTTTCTAAGTCGTGTGAATCAATTGCTTCCATCTAGTAGCAAAACTAGTCAAGTTATCATATCCATCTAATGTAGCTCTACATTCATCAATAAAATTATTCTTACGATATTCATCACCCGACTTAAACGTTACTTATTTGTTGGTTTGATGTCAGTAGCCAATTGTATTTATATTCTACATTTTTTCTCTTTGTATAAACTCTTCAAGTATTTTCTAGCTGGTCAAGACGCTTACATATAACCGTTTTTAATTTGTCGCATATCTTATTTTGTGAAATTCTAAAAAAAAAACATTTTTCTTTATTTTTATGTTACCAATGTCTTCAGTTTCTTTTCTGATTCTTCTGTGATGGCTGTTCGGCTTTTAGGCTATTTCCAAAGTTGTGTACACATTAATCAATAACTATACACAATTATGCTTCTCTTTTAATGTTATATCTTCCTACAGATCGATACAAATCTTTCTGTATCTGGTATTAAAAGACAAATATCACAAAATGTACTATGAATCATATTTATTACTAAAGTGATCAAAATTTAGTGAGTTAAATGTTACAATGTAATACCACCGAATACGTTATTGTAGATATTAATAATAAAAATGATATAAGCTAAAATTCACATGATAGATTTATCATATTAAACTCTAGACATGAACAGATTAAAAATATAGTGATCGGGGAAACATCCTCTTGGGAGTCTTTTTCCAAAAGGCAGCAGTTCGTGTGAAGAAGCTAAGGAGAAGGTAATGAGCTTTGTACGCTAGAATATGCGTTGAATAGCGTGTCTTAGCAATGAAGGTTAGAATTGTTGGAACTAAGGACTCTAATTCGTCTGAAAACTTTCCATAGAAAAATGAATAGAACAGCTAGAAGCTTGCGATGTTTGGTCTGAATCAAAGAAGAATCTGTGGCTAGTCTGGCTGTTGGTTCTGGGAATTGAGCTGATTAACCATCATATGTCGAAAATAACGGGAGAGTCCAGTATATATATATATATATATATATATATAAATTTCTCAGAGTTAACCTGTAGAAAAGACAATATTTATAAATATAAATGAGGACAGGAAAACTGTAGTTATTGCTGACGCGTTTCATCCAATATGAACTTTCTCAAGGCAAAAAACGAAATGAATTTAATTAAAGAAAGTAACTAATAATAACAAAAAACAGAATGTTCCTAGCAACTGGAGGAATGTAGAGAACGCTATTTTCATATTGTTAACTGAAAATAATGTACACAACAATATCGTAAAATCAAAAGAAAATGGTTGAATCTGTGAACACAGTTATATTCTGCACTCGTGACAATAACTGACATAAACCGATATAAAACAGTATTTTCCAAGAAATATAGCAACATTATATATATATATATATATATATATATATATATATATATATAGAGAGAGAGAGAGAGATATATAGATGTTAATATATATATATATATATATATATATATATATATATATATATATATATATATATATATATATATATATATATATATATATATATATATATATATATATATATATATATATATATATATATATATATATATATATATATATATATATATATATATAAATTTCCAAGAGGATAGAATCCAGGTAGAACTCAATGTCCAGGACAGTAAGAATATAATAAAAGGCTTAAAAATATTATTCCATGGTTATAATTTATTACATTGGAATTCATCAGACCTACAAATCCAAAAAAGAAATCGGATATATATATATATATATATATATATATATATATATATATATATATATATAGAGAGAGAGAGAGAGAGAGAGAAGAGAGAGATAGAGATAAATAGATAGATAGATAGATATACTTACTGACTTATCGACTTATTGACTGAAAGCCCATACTAGATTCGTCGATATATTTAACGTGACATGATTCTGTAAATAGATATATCATTTTATGTATATATGCGTGTATATAAAGTTGTATATGTGAATATATATATGTGTGCGTATCGACGTATGTTTGTATGAGAGTATGTTTGACTGTATTTGCGAGTATCTATATATCTGTATGTGCACGCATTTATGGCTGTATATATGCGTATGCGAATATATATGTGTGTGTGTGTGTGAGTGGGCGCGCGCGCGCGCGTGTGTGTGTGTGTGGATAGATGTTGAAATAGAGAAAAGTTACAAAGTTGAGATAACTTGCAAGCAATCTTCTAAGATCAAGATTGATACAGTCGTGGGGGTTGATGGCAAGGTGGTAGGGACGTGTAGAATCAGTGACGATGGCGTCGCCAGCGACCATTACGAAGAGATAGAACCAGAAAGTACTTAAAGATAAAATGTCTGCGTCAATCGATGTAAAATCGGTTAGCCGTCTGATGGAAACGAGGTCGCGAAAAAAGGCGGCAAAGAAAAGTGTCGGAGATGGATGGGCAGGAGTGGTTACAGAATTTCTCACAATATTAAGTTGGCCTTTTCCTTTTCACGCTTTTCTACCAAATTACTAGAGACCTTCCGAAAATAATGCCTCTTATTTATTTCCAGAGAGATAACACCTTTGGCGAGAGCAAGTTTTCAGCACTAAACGGAGAGCAAGTTTTCAGCTACAAAACGGAGAGCAAGTTTTCAGCTGCAAAATGGAGGGCTAGTTTTCAGCTGCAAGACGGAGAGCAAATTTTCAGCTACAAAACGGAAAGAAAATTTTCAGCTGCAATACGGGGAGGTAGTTTTCAGCTGCAAAACGGGGAGCTAGTTTTCAGCTGCAAAACGGGGAGCTAGTTTTCAGCTGCAAAATTGAGAGCAGGTTTTTAGTTGAAAAACGAACAGGCTTTTAGCTACAAAAGAGGAAGCAAGTTTCAGCTACAAAATGTCGAGTAAGGTTTCAGTTACAAAACGGAGAGCAAGGTTTCAGTTACAAAACGGAGAATCAGTTTTCAGCTACAAAACAGAAATTGGGCTTTCAGTTACAAAACGTAGAGCAACTTTCAGCGACAAAATGGAGAGCAAATTTCAGTGAACAAACGGATAGCAGGTTTTCAGTTGCAAAACCGTGGAAATGTTTTTAACTAGAAAACTGAGGGAAAAGTTTTTGCTGCGAAAGTTACACAACGTTTTTAGCTAAAAAACGCAGATCAAGTTTCAGATTCAAACGGGGAACAAGTTTTCAGCTACAAAACAGCATATTTTTAGTTACAAAACGGAGATTCGGTTTCAGCTACACAACGGAGAGCAGGTTTTCAGTTACAAAATGGAGAGCAGGTTTCAGCTACAAAACGGAGAGCAGGTTTTCAGTTACAAAATGGAGAGTCAGTTTCAGCTTTCAGGTTTTCTACAAAACGGAGAGCAGGTTTCAGCTACAAAACGGAGAGCAGGTTTCAGCTACAAAACGGAGAGCAGGTTTCAGCTACAAAACGGAGAGCAGGTTTTCACAAAATGGAGAGTCGGACACAACGGAGAGCAGGTTTTCAGTTACAAAATGGAGAGCAGGTTTCAGCTACAAAACGGAGAGCAGATTTCAGCTACAAAACGGAGAGCAGGTTTTCAGTTACAAAATGGAGAGTCGGTTTCAGCTACACAACGGAGAGCAGGTTTTCAGTTACAAAATGGAGAGCAGGTTTTCAGTTACAAAATGGAGAGTCGGTTTCAGGTACAAAACGGAGAGCAGGTTTTCAGTTACAAAACGGAGAGCAGGTTTTCAGTTACAAAACGGAGAGCAGGTTTTCAGTTACAAAACGGAGAGTCGGTTTCAGATACAAAATGGAGAGCAGGTTTCAGTTACAAAATGGAGAGCAGGTTTCAGCTACAAAACGGAGAGCTTTTCACAAAATGGAGAGTCGGTTTCAGCTACACAACGGGTTTTTCAGTTACAAAATGGAGAGTCGGTTTCAGCTTACAAAACGGAGAGCAGGTTTTCAGTTACAAAACGGAGAGTTTTCACAAAAGAGTGGTTTCAGATACAAAATGGGTTTTCAGTTACAAAATGGAGAGCAGGTTTTCAGTTACAAAAACGGAGACAAAATACAAAACGGAGTGTTTTCAGTTACGGTTTCAGTTATACAAAACGGAGAGCAGGTTTTCAGTTACAAAATGGAGAGCAGGTTTTCAGTTACAAAACGGAGAGCAGGTGTCAGATACAAAACGGAGAGCAGGTTTTCAGTTACAAAATGGAGAGTCGGTTTCAGATACAAAACGGAGAGCAGGTTTTCAGTTACAAAATGGAGAGCCGGTTTCAGCTACAAAACGGAGAGCAGGTTTTCAGTTATAAAATGGAGAGTCGGTTTCAGATACAAAATGGAGAGTCGGTTTCAGATACAAAATGGAGAGCAGGTTTTCAGTTACAAAATGGAGAGTCGGTTTCAGGTACAAAACGGAGAGCAGGTTTTCAGTTACAAAACGGAGAGTCGGTTTCAGGTACAAAACGGAGAGCAGGTTTTCAGTTACAAAACGATATATTCACCACCATCGACGAGACAATTTCAAACTTTTTTATAATTTCACGAGAAAACAACTATCTAAAGTCATCTGGAACGTAGCTTATTGGTTCACTTCTAACTTTATTTTCATCTATTGTTTGGTTTCCATAAATGTTCAGCAAGGATGGTTTGGTGTGAAATTCAGTGAGACATCGCTGCTTTGTACTTACTTTTATGTCAGATGCATTTTTGAATTAATATAGGCAAAAATTCAAATACGATATTATTGATTATTGGCAGAAATTCCAGCAGTGACTCACAACACTAAAAATATTAATTTCGCAGTGACACGTATATTTGACTTAAGCTTCATTTTTTTTAAATTTCTTTTTCATTAACAACTGTGAAATTGATTTGACTAAAATATCGAAAAGATCTCGTTTCCGTTGTTCTTCTCGTCGACTTCACACTACATGGTCAGATAATTCTCGTGCCGTGACGCTTAAAGAAGTGGGAGACCATTGTTCTCCACAACTTTCCGTCCCTTGAAACTCTAAGCAGTCTTTGTCTTATTGCTATGACTCCTAATCCCTGAGTTTATGGTCAAATCACAATGAATCACCGGTTTGCATACGATCACCGAAGCTAAGCAACGTCGAGCCTGGTCAGTACCTAGATGGGGGATCGCTTGGAACGATCAGGTGCTGCAAGCTTCGATGGGCATGTGGTGTAATGCGTAATAGCTCGGAATTGTCAATCGCCTTAATACCATTGGGAATGGGGTGAATCCACCAATTCTCCTCCTCTTTATGGGTTAATTAGTAACATCCTTATCACAGAAACTACTATTATCTCCAAAAAGTAAAATAAATATAACTCCGTACAAAATATTTAGATTTCGGCATTAAATAACCCATAGAGGTGTTGATAATATCAAAATATTTAGATTTAGGCATTAAATAGCTTATAGAGGTTGATATGCCGCTCAACGAAGACAACCAACGAAACCAATCAAAATATTTAGATTTCGGCATTAAATAACCCATAGAAGTGTTGTTAAACCGCTAATCAAAAACAACCAATCAAATCCTAATCCATTTATACACGTCCGTGAGGTAGCTTATTCCCTTCTTTCCTCAATTCTTCTTGCCTTCAACATATCTAAATGTTGAATTTTCTAAGCTCTCTTTCTTTACTATGTGATGTAACAATTCTTTCTATTTCTAAATAAAAGTGTCCTTTTTAATTTATATCTCTGAGATGAGGTATTATGAGGATTTACATTATGTGGATTGTTATTCTTATCTTCATAGCCATATTTAATCTACCCCGGTGGACGAAAATAAGGGTTTCGGTTCGAAATTTCAATAACCTGAAAAAAGCCGGAGAGTACAACGGCTGAAACGTTGTAAACATGGCAATGAAAATGGGGATAACAGTCCGAATACTGTAAATACCGCAAGTAATCATAATACCTCATCCAATCACCTGAAGAAGGCCGGAAAGTACAACGACCGAAACGTTGTGAATATGGCAATGAAGATGAGGATAACAGTCCGAATAATGTAAATAATGTAAACAATGTCCTTTTGGCTTTCATTTTCTCTAAAACTTTTTCGTTTCACACATGTTCTGTACATTGTATCCTTCCGTAGAACTGTTGTCTCAAGTCACTTCTTCTTGATAAGATTGTCTAACATTCAATGCTGTATAGAAGGACTTTGATACTACATAACAGTTCACGGCTCTAGTCAATTTCGAACGAAATTTTCCTGTTTCCTAATAACTTTGGTTTGCTTTACCGAAATCTAAATATTTTGATTGGTTTGGTTGATTGTCTTTGTTTAGCGGGATATAAACACCTTTATGGGTTATTTAATGCCTAAATCTAAATATTTTTATTAGTTTGGTTGGTTGTCTTTAGCGGCATAACAACAGCACTATGAGTTATTTAATGACAAAATCTAAATATTTGGATTAGTTATATTTAAATGAAATTAATATATTAATAATTTACTTAATTTTTTTATTGTATCTTTTACTAAATAGTTAATGATGTAGTACTGAATGGATTAATATTAACGTCTTTTTATAAAATTATTAATTTTAAATTCTCTCTGAAAATTATTATGGATTTTTTTATCATTCATCTTCCTTGTACAGGTGTTGATATTTACATTTAGGTCAGCGTCCATTTTCAACCATCGTGTCTACCTGTACCGACTCCACCACAACAACGTTAGGTCCATTAAGCCTCGATATCTATATAACTCCCTCATCTATTATAGGCCAATTCTTACTCCCTCTCCTTTTATTATTTCCTTTTTCTTTTTTCCTTCTTTCCTTCCTTTGCCATTCAAATTTCCTGTGAAGAGACGTGGGTTTTTATACATTTTAGTAAATGTATTTGCATTGATAAATCCAAGGGAAAACTACTTTCCCGTGGACGAAATGATCATCTGTATGAAGTAAATTGTTTGGATTTCAGAAATTGTAATTCATATATATATATATATATATATATTCAGCTAAGTTTTAATTTTCCAGCTTTTTTAAAAATTTAACGTAGGTCGTATTCGATTGGTTGATCAAAGTCCACAAACATTATAACCACCCCATCACTTTTCTTTTTCCTTTTCTTTTTTCGTAAAAAAGCCGCTGTATTAAATTGTCACCAGTAATTTACAATCGCCTGATGAGATGCATTGATACGCATCGGAACACTACTGCAATTGTGTAGCGATTTTGACAGGTTTTCGATGTAATATCGTAAAATAAAGTGTATATATATATATATATATATATATATATATATATATATATATATATATATATATATGTGTGTGTGTGTGTGTGTGTGTGTGTGTGTGTGTGTGTATGTGGGCGTGTGTAAGATAGATGAAAACCAGTTGGATATTTCATTTTTTTTAATATTCTTGTTGACCTTTCACTTCTCTCTCACAATATAATTGTCAAAATAATTGAAAAAATAAAAATCATCTGAAGTAATTATTGAATCAGCCATGATGTCACGATTCTATTCAATTAATCCCAAAGTAGGTTTTTATAATACATCCTCTTTTCTAGCTAAGATCATACAGAAAGAAAATAATATTAAAATAGAGACTCTTTAAGCATCTTAATATCAATGTTTATTCGAAATTTTAATTAAATTCTCTACTTTCCCTAACACCTGAATAATATATGATCATAATTTATATTTTTAATTATAGATATTTGACTAGTTTCTTTGAATAATACGCACTTTAGTTTTCTCGCTACAACATTCTTTTTTTTTTTTTTTGTTCTTTTCCTATATTAAATCATCATTTTGCATTTTAATATACTTCTCTGTAAAAAGGTCGTTGATTTCTTTTCGGATTTAGAAGCTGTTAAAATAGTTCAAATAAATTACTTCGCTTTTATGTAGTTGGATCTTCATGTTAACGAGATTTTTCCATAGATTTTTTCAGCTTTTTTAACATCTCGAACCATGGAAGGCGATAATGCCACTAAGAAGCAGTGGGTTACTGAGAGTGAAAGAAAATGAGAAGATGCTTATGAGGAAAAAGAAAAATAAAAGAACGGGGACCAGTCCAAGAGAATATTATATAGGAATAAAGTGTCACTGCCGACGCTTGAATTTGAACATAGATCGCCAGTGAACAAACACAAGTGATCTCATAATTGAATTAAGTAGACCACGTGGCCATAGAGACAACGCATAAGCAGGAATTAACCTGGCGTCTAACTGATCGCTATTTCTAGTCTATCCTTTATTACTATTTGAATCAACATTTCTACGCTATACGGATCGCTATTTCTATTCTATCCTCTATACTATACGGATCGCCATTTCTATTCTTTCCTCTATTAATATAGGGATCGTCATTTCTAGTCTATCCTCTATTACTATACGGACCGCTATTCTCTACTCTATTCACTATACTATTCCTCTATTCAGATCACTATACAGGTTACTATTCGAGCGAGTATTATCGAACAAGTACTATTAGTGCGAGTGATATTCGAAGGCGTCTGGCACCAGTATTGTTCAACGGCGTTACTATACTTGTATCTGCGATTACAAAGTCTCTACTACAATGAGTAGGTAAATAACAGTGACATCGGGCAATATGTGACGGCAATATTCAAAGCATGGACGAATGGTAGACTTATAGATATGTAAGATAGATTCTGGAAAGAAAAATTGTCTCTTACGACACAGTGTACAAACTTTCTTAGCAGCTGATCTAGAAATGGATTCAATACAATCTTTCCACTTCATGGCAGCTGAGAACGTTAGCCCGAGAAGGAACAATATTCTAAGCATGGGCGAATGGTAGACTTATAGATATGTAAGATAGATTCTTGAAAGAAAAAATGTCTCTCACTACACAGTGAACAAATGTTTTTAGCAGCTGATCTAGCAATGGATTCAATATAATCTTTCCACTTCATGGCATCTGAGGATGAGCAACGTGTCACTTTTGTGGAGTTTAGCATCAGCCATGCTGTGTTATGATACTTTTATGTAATATCAATTCTCCAATATAGCAATGGGGGCAGGACAATTTTCTTATGGTTGAAGTGGACATTAGAGCCACCAGAAGTGGTGCTCTACCGAAGGATACTGAGAATATCATGGGTGGTGCGAATAAACTTAAGAGTTCTTAAGGGAAATGGAAACAAAGCAGGCATTTCTACTCAGAATTGGAAACAGACAGGAGAAAATTCTTGATAACCTAACAAGGAATATGGCTTTGGAAAATTTGACATTCATATATTACATTGTAGTCTAAAGTGACCGCGGGGAGACAGAGGAGCACGTCAATTAAGAACTTGTACAAATCGATAGCCGAATGAGGAGAGGTGAGGGATGACAGCAAGAAAAACGTTACTAAGAATTACAAAGGATAGGATGGTGTAGAGAGCCTTGATCACCCATGTCCTTAAGTGTAGCGTCACAGAGAAGAAATAACATTTATGAAGTTCAAATAGCTATCAGAAGAACTAATTTGTTTTGTTTTGTTTTACGGCATATCAACTTCAATGGGTTATTTATTTAATTAAGATATATATTACTGGTAAAAAAAAAATTCCAAAAAATGTATTGCTGGTACTAATTTTTTCCCAAAAAATTATTGCTGGTATTAAAACCTATATTTATACTTTCATTGTGTATTCACCCCTTTGGAGAGGTTTAACTATTTGCCCATAGCTGGAACCCTGGCAGGTGTTACCACCTTTGCTCAGGGTGGACCTGGGAACGCCAGCAATTGAGAAGTGTTTCCTCGCTCCTCAAAACCTCCTCATCAAAGGCCTTACTGTCAGATGTAGTTTATCGTCTTACCGAGGACGCGGATGTAGTTTATCGTCCATTCCAGGATGCGGGTGTAGTTTATCGTCTAACCCAGGATGGTCAGAACTGAGAATGTTATAGGGATGTATAAAGATGTACATAGCTAAAAAGTATTACATTAAAGGTACCAAAAAGTATTTCTGTTGAAGAAATTAAGTGTTCTTGCGTGCAATGTCCGCGTGGTTTGTTTGAAATTTACTAGTTGGTTTGCCAGATGAAAGAATTTTCTCCTAGCAAAGACAAGCCCTGACGTTATTTCTACTGAGCAAAAAAAGAGAATGGGTCTTGCATTTTATAGTCCTATATTCTTCGATACAGTGGGTGTTATATCCAGAATGTTTGCTCAAAT